TAGGAAATGAAGATTTCGTGTATGTTTCTGCTGAAAATGAGATATTGTCCTTTGATGTTCGTATGGTAAGTCCAGCATGCAATTATATTCATTTGTTTTTAGTTAAAGTGTATGAGACGACTTGATAATGTGCCACCTGTACCTTGGGTTCTCTTTCGTAACATGATTACAGTGGTTTTCTTGTAGGGACCTCAGTCAAAGCCATTACAGACATATAATTACAATAGAGATGAAATCAATCAGGTACTATTCCATGATGTTACTTTAATTCATTTTGATGCAATGGCATGTGAACTTTCTTTTACATTTTGAAACTAGGCTTCATGCTAGCATTGAGTTGAGCTTAAGATTCAAATAATGAAAGTTTCTCTTTTGACACAGATTGCTGTCAGCTCTAAAGGTTTTCTCGCTGCAGCAGATGACAGCGGGGACGTGAAGGTATTGAAGCTGTTGAACAGAGACGTTTCTATCATTTCTTAACCAAATATGAAATATCACATGCTTTAGATTTCATAATTGGCTACTTTGAGTTTGTCAAATGAAGTGGAAGAGTTTACAAACCTCTAGGGATTATAGTGCTGCTACAAGTAGATTTGAATTTGAATAAAAATAATTTTCCTGGAGGCCATCTGAAACGAATCCTAGGGTACACTACTCTTCTAGCTTTAATAAGTGATAAACATTTTGTATAGCAGGTTTTTGGAATGTTCTTGTGAAATAAAAATAAAAAATGCTGCACTTGAGGTTAGTCCCAAGCTGCACATGTTATTAATACCAAACTGGTTGATGTAAAACCTTTGTCATTATGGATGCAAATTAACTGGCTTATATGTTTTTTGGTCATGTTGAAGGCAAGAATGAATACATAATATTTTGTGAAGTATAGGTTGATTAACTGATTGATTGATGATTTAAGAAGTAAGAACTATAGTATGAATACAATAGATCATCAAGTTCGAAAAAAGATGTGTGCAACACACTGATAGGCATGATTAGTCTTGTAATATTGTTCATGATTTGTTTCTGAGAAGTTCTGCTTTTCCTTTGCAGGTCATCAATACCATTCAAAAATGCATGTATAAAAGATTAAGGGAAGCCCACACAAGTGTATCCTAATATGGTGTAACTGGTTGCATTTTTCCTTCGAATAATTATGTTCCGCTTTATGTTAAAAAACTGTGCTACCATCCTCGTATCATTCTTGTCATCCTCATGCATCCTGTCTGCATGTATATTAGTTGTTCCTTAGTGATCTTTCTACAGATTTGCAGCTGTGTACAATTCATTCCTTGGAGACCTTGGACAGGTTCGGGCAATCATTTGCCTTTTCATTTTTTCCCTTGACTCACTCCCGTTCTTCCCTTTTGTTCTCAACTGATAGGCTACTAAATACTAGATATTTTACTTATATTGGTTGATTCTACATTTTCTATGATACTCAGCTCTCTTTCATATTCCAGAAAAAAAATTATCCTCACACACTGATACATTTCATTTGACAGTAATTACGGGTGGACTTGATTCAAAGCTTGTTGCATGGGATTTCTCTAAAGGGCGAACACTGTTTTCTATTGATTATGGTACCTCCTTTTTCAACTAAAGGCCTGTATTCATCTTACATTACTTATGCTATTCTGAGTTCTAATTATGCCCAGGCCTTCATTATAAAGTATCCTAGCAGTTCCTATAGATTCATCTATGATTTGCTTTAGCATGGTAAATGCATCTTTTATATATCAGTCGGGAAGCGGGTTCACCTCGCTATACACAGTGAATAGAAAAGAAGGGAAAAAAAATCTGTTGATCCAACAAAGCTGCAGAAACTGTTATTTCTAATGCAAAAGACTCCAATTTGGATTAATTAAACATAACAATTTGTACTGAATTTCAGGATCACCCGAATCGCAAAATGGCAGTTCTTCCAGTAGCGCAGGGCAATGTTTCAACCCTGCTTTTGTTCACTCGATAGCAGTGTCTGAAGAGAGCACTTTAGGAGGGTTGCACAAAGTTTGTGCTGTTGCAAGAGGGGATGGTGTTGTTGATGTAGTTGATCTTGAATATGAGCTGGCCCCTGCAAAATCGAAAGGGCCTTCTCGTGCAGTGGGTTCAGCAACGAGCTCAAAAGGAATTAATCTTGGAGATGGGAGCAGCAATCAAAGTCAAGTGAAAAGGATCCATCTTGACTATGCAATGGGTGGGCATACTGCAGCTCTGTCTTGTGTGTAAGTCCCTTCATTCTGTCAAAATATCATGCACATATTTCAGAAACTAACTGATCAGCTGCTTAACAGAGCATTTTCAGCATTTGGTGAGAAAGGGAAATTCCTTGTTTCAGGTGGCAATGATGCTTCATTGAAGCTATGGGATTGGTCCAAAGGATTTTCTTCTGAAACAAACAGCAACAGTGAAATGGTGTTGGATATCGATGTGAAGAAAAAGGTCACAACTGAATCCTCAGTTTTGCGTGAACTATTGTCTTCAACTAGTTATATTTACAATTCAAATCAAAATCTGAAGAGATAAGAATAAACTGTTTTATCACAATATTTTTGATGCTTTTCGTTATAATGCTCACCTGCGATCATATATTGGCAGGTAAACTGGCTGTGCACTACCCCAACTGATTCAGATAACCTGATTGTGTGTGATACATCAAAGGTGGTCAAAGTATATAATTTCCCGTAAATAGATCTAATTTGACAATTTTCTGAGGGAATGAATGTCGCCTGATCGTCGGTCTCAAGTTGCTCCCTGATTTTGGTGCCCACTGCTGGGAGATATGATGCCTACCTGTCACAGCTAGTTCTGTGAATTGATAACTGCGATTATTGGTTAGCTCTTGATCCGTTGTAGAACTATTTCTTAGTTTCAGTCTTGTCACCTATACTTCGCTGCAATATTTTTGTACTTAGATGGGCTGCTAGCTGGATTTGGCATGTATACCTGTATTGTATGGTGCAATGAATTATGGCTTTGGGGAGAAGCTTGTTCGTGTTGGCAGGCTTGATTTTCAGTTAAAGGTGTTGAAATATGTTGTTTCTTTTCATTTCTACCATAACAGAGACAAAACTAATGTTTCTTACGCATGCATCTTCTATAGCGTTCTGATGCCAGCCTCTCCATATTGGAAAGCGCATGTCATAACGTACGTGAAAGATTATAAGGTGATACTAGCAACATATGTAGCACGCTACATGACTGAGTATGGCTGATTTTTTTTACGAGAAAACTCTGCACGAACATGTTATTAAAAACGATGGAACCTATTTGGATGTCTGTAACGCAACTTAGTTATTAACTTGGCGGCCCCATGTCAGGGGCTGTTTGGTTTGCTTGTTTTAATGGATTGCTTTCTAGATTAGGTAGCCCGTTTGCCGCCCCTTCGCACTCACAAATTAGTTCAATATTCCCAAAGAATAGCGTTGAAAATTATGTGTGGTTAGGATGGTATTTATGTAAATTTCCCTGCCCTGTCATTCCTCATTTGCATGTGGTCAGGAATAAGTGGACAGAAGCCACAGACCACCAAGCTGTCTGCACTGGAGGACAAGAGGTCGTCTTCTACTCTTTGGTGGAGCAAGAAGAGGGAAGAAAATGGGAGGCATATGCTCCTGCCGCTTCACCAAATTACTCCAAAACTATCGCAACGGACCTCCTGCCCAGAATCATTTGCTCTTCACAGAGGTGAGGTGACGACCTGTATGTCTGAATTCTTTGCTTGTGTTCATCAACTCGATTCTTGGCAGCTTCTTGATGAACTTAGACATTGCAGCATTCATTCTTCTCTTGCCAAAAAAGAACTATGATAACTGTGCAGGAACAACTGCATGCATGCATCAACAGCTGACCTTAATTAACTGCACATCAAAGTGCAGCAACAGGAAACTGACTGAAATTGTAACACTGAACTTGGTAAAATTTGCAGGTTTGCTCCTCCTCTGTTCCCCGCGGCAAAGCTCTTCACGCTCATTTTGCACGACCTTTATCAGATCAGAAGCCAACGGGGTAGCTTCCCCAAGAGCTGTCAGAAAATATAGCAAGGAAGAGCTTATTGCGTTCTTCAGAGACATTCAGACCTCCATTGCCGAGAGCTCGCCTAAAACCTCCAGGAGGATGAGGAATCAATCGTCTGACCCATTTGAAGAGGTTGTAAAGAGGAAGCAGTCGTATGGTATGTTGTAAAATCGATCTTGCAATATTTTCCATGTGCAGAATGTTGGAGTGGCGTTGCGTTCTGCGACTTGCATGTCCCTGTTATGTCAGCAGTCTTGATGCATGCATATCAGTTACCAATCAGATGAAGCAAGACGTTTGTTTTCTCACCCTGGATCACATCTACTTGATTACAATGCATAGGTGAAGGAGACGGTGGCACAAGCGATGTTTCGGAGGAACAACGAAAGAAAACAAGCCTGGGTGACATGACGGTGTCTGAGCTGAGAGAGTTGGCGAAGGCTAGAAGGATGAGGGGTTACTCTAAGCTAAAGAAGGGCGAGCTGATTGATCGATTGAAAGGTGTTTCGTAACCTTGTCCAAGATCATTAGCTATCAGATACCAGGGACTTACTGCAAATGTTTTTGCTGACTAAATTGGTGTTCTCTTCAATCGGCTCTGTAGAGATTGCAGACGATGTCTCTATTTGTCACCTTCGGTCCTGTAGAGAACTAGAGATTGCAGATGTTTCTATTTGTCACCTTCAGTGTATCATAAACGATGAGATATTGTCATGTTGTATGAACTATGAAGCTTCCGATGTACTACTTTATTACTTCTTTTATTAAGAGAACCCCGTGACAAGCTTGAAGAACAGCTGAAAAGCAGGATGCACTATTGAACACCAAAGTAATGTACGATCTGTTGCTGCTCTATTGGATCGCATTCCTGGATTAGCATACATCGGTGTGTGCATCAGGTGGACCTGAACCGTACATTAGAGCTAATATAACACGAGTACAGTACTAAATAGATAAGAAGCTAGCATAGGCCAATGTGTCACAAATCCGTTGTAGTCTAGGTGGTTAGGAACTTAGGATACTCGGCTCTCACCCGAGAGACCCGGGCTCAAGTCCCGGCAACGGAATTTTTTTTCCCAGTCCGTAGCACGAATTACCATAACACCCCTGTGTTCGGTCCATTCCACAGGGCCACGGACGTAATTACTACGGCGTACACCCAGCACTGAGATTTATTAGGGTTCCTTGTCTGCTAACAAAGCCGCTCCTGCCGCCGCCGCCCGCACCGCGCTGCGAATCCCTCCGCCCGCCGCGTCGCCGTCTCCCAGGTCTTACCATGGTGAGTTCACCGGCCCTCGTTCGTTTCATTTGTATTTGTTTTTCATTTTCCCCTCGAAATCGTTGGTCCATTCCGTGCGTGTGCGCGGTTCTGACGATGTGATTGGTTTGGTGTTTGCGGCCGCAGGCGTCGGAGAAGAAGCAGTCGAACCCGATGCGGGAGATCAAGGTCCAGAAGCTCGTGCTCAACATCTCCGTCGGCGAGAGCGGTGATCGCCTCACCCGTGCCGCCAAGGTATTAGCACGTTTCCCCCAAATAGTTCTCACTAGGATCTGTGCGCTGATCCAATTGGCTTGCCCTGCATTTGTGTGACTTACTACTTATGTGACTTGTCGTTTCTTATTTGTGAGAGTTCTCTTTAGGTAACGTGAACTTCTTAAGCCTTCCAACCTATTTCTGTTGGTTTCAATTGAGTTGTGCCGTCCAAATGAGTAGTGTCGTTGCTTGTTACGTCAGCTGTGGAAATATTGCTCATATGGTTCCAGTTAGGCTAGTCATTGGCCATTGCGAGTCTTGCTTTGATTTCCTTGTGCATAGCTTGCTTGTGGAAATGAAATTAGGTTCTTTTTGTGCCATGATCTGTTGCTCTAACTTATTTTTCTGTTTATTAGGTGCTCGAGCAGCTGAGTGGGCAGTCACCGGTGTTCTCCAAAGGTGATTTTCTTGAACCTGAAGGATCACTGATGAGCAGTAGGTTGATGATTCTAAGAGCCATTATGTTCTGATATTGCAGCGAGGTACACTGTGAGGTCGTTCGGCATCAGGCGTAATGAGAAGATTGCATGCTATGTGACAGTGAGGGGAGAGAAGGCAATGCAGCTGCTGGAGAGTGGCCTGAAGGTGAAGGAGTATGAGCTGCTGAGGAGGAACTTCAGTGAGACTGGGTGTTTTGGGTTTGGTATTCAGGAGCACATTGATCTTGGCATCAAGTAAGATTATCCCGTCTCTGCTATCCTACTACTTTTATGATTTGGATGTTGTGTATGCATTTCTGCTTGTAAGTAACCAATGTGTAGCCTGAACACAGTTTTGAAAACTGCGACTGTTTAGATTTAGCTATTCCCAAATTAATTTATCACCAATGGACTTGATCGTTTCAGCTGTCTGTGGCTGACGCTGCTGCAGCAGCATCCACATCCACAGCCAGCTCTCCCGATCAGAGCCAATAAATATAATGCGATTGTTTAGATGCTTCTGTTGTTGGTTTATTGTACGTTTCCTTGGGCACATTCCTTGGGCATGTTCCGTTGCAATATAGTTAATTGATGCGCTGCAGTGCGCCACATTAGACTTCAATTACTTGATTAGTAATTTAGTCCTGGTTTAACTTCTTTAATTGAATTGTGGTATCTTGCCATTTATTGGTATTGTCTGATAATAGTCTTGTTTTTTTCGCCAGCCGTTAGCATGTATGTGCATTCAATTGGTGGCTTGTTTTGTTACTGCCTTAGGGATTTGATTTATTTCACATCATTGCAGTTTCTGATAGCCATTGCATCAAGAAGTGCTGCATTTTGTTTACGACTAATAACTGATTGTTTTATTACTTTGGTTCAGGTATGACCCGTCCACTGGTATCTATGGCATGGACTTCTACGTCGTCCTTGAGCGTGCCGGGTACCGTGTTGCCCGCCGCCGCAGGTGCAAGTCCCGAGTTGGCATTCAGCACAGGGTCACCAAGGAGGATGCCATGAAGTGGTTCCAGGTCAAGTATGAGGGTGTCATTCTCAACAAGTCCCAAGCCAACACCTCTTAAGCATCGCAAGTAGAGCGTAGCCTCTCATTAGATCTCTAGTTATTAAAGTTTCTGGAGGTTGGATTTGTACGACTGTTAGAAGAAACCAAATGCTTATCAATTTTGCCTGTATTTGGAGTTGGATCCTTTTCTGGGTTGCATTGTACTTCACCTATAATCAGATGTTTCTCCTGTGTTTTGCCCTAGTGGCGGCTATTCATAGATGTCTGACTTGTTCTGATAAAAGTTTAGGTTTCTTTCTCTCTGTCTAGTTGTTTGTTAGTATTGGATAATCATGGACACTAGCTGTGTGCAACGGCTGGAACCCTTGGCATCACAAATTGTAAATCCTTTTGAGACCACAGCTAATGGATTAGCGTAACAAGAATGGAAATTTTGAATAAGAAAAAAAAAATTGTTGACTCCATTTGTGCAGGTTCACAAGAAACGACCTGCCAGGTTGGTTCTTTCGATAACCAAGCTGACATGGGTTGTTTACTGACGGGCATACGTGCAGAGGCACATTTGCAACCAAAAATTGGCTCAAAAACAGTGGAGCAACAAATAAATGACATTGAAGTTTATTGAATCGCGGGAGGATTAGAATAGCTACCTCCGTGAACAAACAGAAATGTTAAGTGAAGGCATTCTCGCACAGCAATGAGGCACTGTTTGCCGCGCGTCTAACAAATGAGATACGAAAATAATCAAATCTTTTCAAACAAAGAGACCGAAATAGCATCTACTTCTGATGTCCCCAAAATAAATAATTCCGAGTTTCATTAAAAAAAATGAATAATTCTAGTTTCGTGCATCGACAAGTTCCTTCTATTTTACCCTAATTGGCCGCAATAGATAGATGTCTGGCCTTTTTTCGTTTAAATGTTTATTATTGTTTCTGCCCTTGTTTAGTTTTTGTTCCTGGAGTACTTGATCGGTATAGAGCTGGGGATACAACAATAGTTCAGTCTGAGACTTAAACTGATCAACTCTTGTTCACCTGCTTGCTTGCTATGTGCGCCCATGATTTAGAAAATGAAGGTGTGCCCCTTTCGATCTCTAACTCAATGTCTACCCACATAGTTAAATTGCCAGCAACTCAAATCTATATTGCGTCAAATTGAGAGAAACCGAATGGGGGAAAACAATCAATGAGATGCTTAAGAGTGATTTTTTTTTTTTTTGGGTGAGAAATGGAGGCCATTGAACCGCATTAATGTTAGCAACATTATCCAAACGATTGTCGAATTGTGATTGTCATTTTCTAATTTTTCAGTGGATCAGATTGCAGGCAGTAAACGGTAAGTTTCTTTGTGTAACAGGTTACAAAAAGGAATAATGTTTCATGAGGACAAAGGTTTCTGCCAAAATAGTTTATCATTGTCATGAAGTGGCAGAATATCCCTTTTTCTGTTTTTACCCTGTTGGCAGCAATATATAGATGTCTGGCCTTTATTGGTTAAATGTTTATTATTGTTTCTCTCCGTGTTTATATTTTTGTTCCTGGAGTACTTGATCGGTATGCAGCTGGGAATAAACAATCGGCAGTCTCAGAATTGAAACTGATCGACTCTTTTGCGTCTGCAGCAATATATAGATGTCTGGCCTTTATTGGTTAAATGTATATTATTGTTTATCTCCGTGTTTATCTTTTTGTTCCTGGAGTACTTGATCGGTATGCAGCTGAGAGGAATACAACAATCGGCAGTCTCAGAACTGAAAGTGATTGACTCTTTTGCGTCTGCTTGCTTGCTATGGGTGCCTATAGGGTTTAGGAAAGGAAGGCGGTCATAAGGCGGTTAAATTGCTAACAACTCAACATCTGCATATCCGTCAGAAAGGTCAAATTGTAGGAGAGAAACCAAATAGGGGCATACAGTCAATTATATGCTTGAGTGAACTTTTGTGACAGAACCAAAAGGAGACCGTTGCATACAATATATCTTATCTAATAATTATAGTAGACTTGTAAAATTTGACACAAGCTCTGAATTAAGGTCTTATTGCAGCACTACTATCCACGCGATTGTCGAATTGTGATTGTCATTTTCTGGTTCTTCAGTGGATGAGTCAAATCGCAGGCAGCAAATGGTAAATTCCTTTTTGGAACAGGTTACAAAAAATATTTCGCGCCGACAAAGGATTCTGCCAAAATAGTTTAGCTTTCTCGTGAAGTGACAAAACATTCTTTTTTTCTTCTGTTTTTTCCCTATTGGCAGCAATAGATAGATGTCTGCTTTTTTTGGGTAAAATGTATATTAATGTCTGTTTTTTCCTGGAGTACTTTCTCGGTATACATCTGCGAATACAGCAATAGGCTGTAACTGATCGAGTATTCGCCTGCTTGCTTGCTATTTGTGCCTACGGTTAAATTGCCAACAACTCAACATCTACATATCCGAAAGGAGACCGTTGGATACAGTATATCTAATAATTATGAGTAGAGTTGTAAATTTGACACAAACTATAAACCGCATTAAGGTCTTACTGCATCATCAGTATCCAGACGATTGTCGAATTGTTTTTTTTTTTTTTTTTTTTGAAAGATATAATTGTCGAACTGTGACTGTCATTTTCTGGTCCTTCAGTGTATCAGTCAGATCGCAGGCAGTAGACGGTAGTAAGTTCCTTTGTGGAACATGTTACAAAAAATGAAATATATTTCGTGCGGACAAAGGTTTGTGCCAAAATAGTTTAGCTTTGTCATGCAATGGCAGAATATTCGCCCTTTATTGTAGATCATCAATTCGAGATTTCTTGTGCACCTAATTCGCTCTCTCGTCAACTCAAAAAAAAAAAAAAAAAAAAAAAAATCGCTCTCTCGTAGTACATGTGACCCTAACTGTGACGAGCTTCCCAAGGGGACAGCTTCCATTTTCGATTTAGCGTGTTAGGGTTGTGCAACCAGTTTGCTCTCGCACACGTGCAACCCTCAACCTCTATGGAATTAGGCTAGTCCCAACGCCGGTTTCACTCCGGTTTCATTTGAGATTATACAGTACAACTAAAACACTCATAACGCACGCACACTCACCTATATGAACGCACATACG